TGTGTGTGTGTGTGTGTGTGTGTGTGTGTGTGTGTGTGTGTGTGTGTGTGTGTGTGCTGTAACACATAAAGTTAATATTTAGTGTTGACCGTGAAATGCATCACAAATGTGCCGGAGACAGAGTGAGAGAGAAACCCGGGAGCAGCCAGACTGCGAGCAGGACGCAGCTGCGAGGCACCGATTCGGCTTCATTCAGCACTGACTTTTTGTTTTCATCTTCATCTTCATCACCACCATCAGCCATGTCAGTTCTTCCTCTGCGGGTGAAAATGCTGCGGCAGGTCTGGAGGCTGAAAGGCGTCGTGATTCTCGTCTGCAGCCCGTTCCTCCTGCTGCCGCTCGCCGTCAGCACCACGGTGAGACGCTTCACTGACCAGTTTAACCCACCAGTTTACTGAGAGGTGACCAGTTCACTGAGCACTTTAACTAGTTTTCATGAACAATGACTGGTTAAAGTTACCAGTGAACCAATGTACAGGACAAACTCATTTTAACCTGTTAACTGACAAGTAACCAGTTATACTTCCAACTTTACTGAGTACTAGCTGTCCTGAATAACCATCTCACAGAGAAGTGCTCGGGTTAGAACTAACTGGTGTAAATAACCAGTTTATGGCACAACAAAGAGTCAGTTTGGCAATGCAGTCTAAAAGTCCCAAACAGATCACCTCCAACCTACCAGTGTAACATAAGTGATCTAAATATCAAATTTGAAGAACGATGATTAAAATAATTTAATTACAAAATTATTATTTTCTGTTTTTTTTATTAAACTGAACACTAACCAGCTCTCCTCCTTGCTACTGCTGTAGCTTCTGCCGACTTTTCTATTTGTGAACTAGTGCAGCATAGTTACAGGTTTAATGAGCACTTATTGGTCTAAATATTACCAAGAACAAACTTTCAACCAATCAGCACTCATCTAAGTAATCTGTTTAAATAATCAGTTTTCTGAAACAGTGACCAGTTCAAGTTATTGATTTACACTCCAGAGAACAAACCTGTTTAATGAAGCTGTTAATGAGAACCTGCCAGTTTAAACTGAGCAGCAACCAGTTTAAATAGCCAGTTTTCTGAGAAATTACCAACTCCAGTTAAGAGTTTACTGAGCAGTTTATTGACTAGTACATCCTAAAAGTTTCAGAGCGTGTTTGAGCAACCAGTTTAGTCTAAAGAGATCAAGTTTCCCGAACAATGACCAGTGAAAGTCACCAGTTTATCAGGACAGAGACGAAACTGGTTACATTCACCTGGTTTTGATCACTAACACATCAATAAGTGCTGTTTACAAGCGTGTGAGCACTAACCAGTATGAATGGCCAGTTTACTGAGACTGTAATGCAGCAGTGAACCAGCCTAACTGATGTCATACCCGTGTGTGTTTAAAATGACCAGTTTTCTGTATGATTAGTTAAAGTTAGCAGTTTAGTGAACACGTGAATAAATACCAACATAAACTCAGAGTGTGAAAGAACCTCTACGATCGGACAATCAGCCTTGTGTCGCTGTTTCATCATCGTTTTCTACTTTATTTTGATCTCAGTTTTACACAAGCATAGGTGTCAAACTCTGGCCCGCGGGCCAAATGTGGCCCGCAGCCTAATTACATTTGGCCCTCGAAGCCATACCAAATTACTATCAGAGCTGGCCTACTGCTATTATACAGCTAATATATATATTGTTTAGTATTAAGCTTTGCTTGTTCCATATTCAGTTTTCCAGCAAAACGTGTCCATAAGAAAAGATTCATTCTTATATCTGGAGGAAGATTTTGTTTTTCAGTAAATATTAGCGTTAGCCCGCGACCTTGTTCCAGTTGTGAATTTTGGCCCACTGTGTATTTGAGTTTGACAGCCCTGCACTAAAGTGTCTTTTACTCTTTACTGGGTTTGATTTGGAAACCAAGGTCAAAATGAAGACACGGGAGGTAGCTAATATTTTGCTCTCCTCAGGTGTATTAGTTAACCTTAGTTAGTTAGCCTTTGAACCTTTGTTCTGATTTGCGCTCAGCGTGAGCTGAAAAACAACAAACAGCAGATTTTCTGGAAACGCTGAAGTTTTGTAAAAGTGTTCACAGCAGAGGCGTTCCTAATAATCTGCTCTCAGATAAGAGCTCATGAAAGTTTGGAATAACTGCAGCTGTGTGTGTAATAGAAACAGTGTCTTTGTTTTCCTGTCACTGGCCGTTGTGAGCTCGATGCTTCGGTGATGAATAACCTGAGCGCTGCGCTGATGTGCAGCCGCTGCGTGTTTGCACAGCAGCTTCTTTCACAGTTTCTTGTCACTGATTGACAAACAGACTGCAGACGGTCTGAAAGGTCACGGAGACGCTCTCTGAAAACACAGTCATCACTTTAACTATTCACTCTTACTTCACTGCATTTCTACAAACCTGAGAAGACTTTGGGGGGTTTATTTAAACTCATTTGAAATGATTTCACACTGTCGTGTATTTCACACTCCAAACATCTCGTCCACTTTGCAGTTTTTAGGCGTTTTCGTGGATTCCTGGTAGTTTTTCGCAGCAGCTCTTCGTCACTCACACAGCAGTCAGTCCGGCCTTTGCACAGGGCAGCTGGACTGTTGGCAGGTCGAAGGCTGCTTGGTGCCCGATGTGATCAGGACTGATGCAATCAGATTATAAGAGATTATAAAATCCCTCCAAAGATTGAATTAAATTGTATTTATATACTGCTAATGTACAACTATGATGTCACCAAACATGATATTATCAGATAAAGAAATTACAATATCTGAGAGACATCCTCTATCAGCAGTACGTGGCAAAGGTAAGGAAGAAGAACCCAGTTTTGACAGGAAGAGACGTCCAGCAGAGCCAAGGGGCAGGAGGGGCGGCCGTCTGCAGCTGGAAAGGAGAGAAAAGAGGAGAAAGTAGACAAAAGCTAAAGGAGAAAGGCTCAATGCATCATGGGAAGTTCCCAAACAGCTAATAACAGAATAAATAACGAGTCACCTGATCACAGGACTAAAACCTTTATGAAAGTTTGGAGGGTGAATGAATGAATCAGTCCTCTGAAATACAACATCTGGATGTAAAGAAATAACATCAGGTGTGGGATGTAAAGCTGCTATTGGGGAAACAAACACAACGAGTCAATGAAAACACAAAGAAGGAAATCCTTAACCAGTGACAGCAGGGTCCACGTCTGAGACTTTAGTCACGTTTCCCAGACTTGCTCACAGTGTTATTGCAGGTTTCATTGTCTTTCACTTTGTTTGGACTCAGTGGGTCCTGTCAGCAGACTCCCAGCAGCCTCTGGGGCTCTGCTCATAGAAAGAAATACAATCTTTCCCCTCATCGTCACGCACTCTTCCCCCGTCTCCTCAGAATTACAAGTTTCCACCAGCTCGATGTACGGAGGTGGGTACAGTACTAGTAAATCCTGACACGTGTTGGGTTCAGCACCTTAAGACCTCCCAGCAGGAGTCCGGATCAACACGTCTCCTCTTCTACAACAACAACTTCAACGTGTTTTTACAGTTTTGGGTATCGACAGGCTGGAAAGTGAAAAGAGCGTCACGGTTTAAACCTGACAGCTTAGAGGTGTGTGATCCTGCTCCAATCCTCAGTTAGACAGAGTTTGGTTAGATTAATAGAATAGAATAGAATAGCCCTTTATTGTCATTGCACATGTAACACAGTTGTGGGTGCTCCACACCAACTGTGTCAGATTAAACAATAAATAGTAAAACAGCAAGAATAAATCAGAAACTGAGAAATACATACAAATATATTTAATATTTAAATAATGTCATTCAGACACAAAAGCAAGAAGAGAGCCGAAACATTTCTATTTGATAATTAAGCCTTTGATTCATCTGCTGACTCTGTGCAGCAGTGTCAGAAACGACTACAGCAAAACCATAGATATTAATTTCCTGTGCGTTTGTTCCAAAAACAAGCAGAGGCTGGAAGTGAGGTCATGTCACAGCACACACTCCTATTTTCAAAAATATTTCAGTGTAAAAAAAAAAAATTACTGTATTACAAACAGAGATGGGCAGTAACGCGTTACTTGTAACACGTTACTGTAATCTGATTACTTTTTTCAAGTAACGAGTAAAGTAAGGGATTACTATTGCAAAAACGATAATTAGATTACCGTTACTTTCCCGTAGGAACGCTGTGTTACTGCGTTACTAAAACCGTGATTTTTTTGCGAGAGTGTCTCATGATTTATCCGTCAACCTAGACCAAAACTTCTGGTCTCAGATTTGCTTAAAAACCTTTAAATTAATTAAAAATCCCAGTCTGCAATTAATACAATACAAAATACTACATAGAGTGCACTATACAGGTCATCGGATGTTCAAGATGGGCTTTACATCCTCCAACAACTGCTCACACTGTCAAGGCAATACACCAGACAATTACATCCACGCTCTTTGGTTCTGTCCACCAGTGCAAAAGTTTTGGCGCGAGATATGTGAAGACTTA